GCAAACTGGTACAACCACTCTGGAAAACAGTATGGAGGTTCCTCAAAAAAATTAAAAATAGAACTACCCTATGACCCAGCAATTGCACTAGTAGGTATTTACCCAAGGGGTACAGGTATGCTGTTTCAAAGGGGCACATACACCCCAATGTTTATAGCAGCACTATCGACACTAGCCAAAGTATGGAAAGAGCCCAAATGTCCATCAGTAGATGAATGGGTAAAGAAGATGTGGTATGTATATACAATGGAGTATTACTCAGCAATCAGAAAGAATGAAATCTTGCATTTGCAACTACACGGATGGAACTAGAGGGTATTATGCTAAGTGAAATTAGAGAAAGACAAATATCATATGACTTCACTCATATAAGGAATTTAAGATACAAAGCAGATGATCATAAGGGAAGGGAAGCAAAAATAATATAAAAACAGGGAGGGGACAAAACGTAAGAGACTCTTAAATATAGAGAACAGAGGGTCACTGGAGAGGTTGTGGGAGGGGGAATGGGCTAAGTGGGTAAGGAGCATTAAGGAATCTATTCCTGAAATCATTGTTGTACTCTATGCTAACTAACTTGGATATAAATTAAAAAATAAATTTAAAATAACAAAGAAAAACTAAAAACATAATAATTTGCTCAGGAAGTTGGAGGATGTGCACTAAGGCAGCAGTGGTGAGAATGAAGAGAAGGAAAAGCACAAGAGATATTTTCTTTCCAGGTAGGATTGACAGGATTCGGTGACTGTTGGAAAGGGAGAAAGTGACCTGTGTGAACTCTGAGCTTTCTGTTTTGGGTAATGAGTGATGTGGTATTGTTCATGGGGTGAGGAGGAGAGGTGGAAAAATGGGTTTGGAAGGAAAGATGATTTCAGTTTCGGATATGTGGAGTTTAGAATACCTGTGAAATGTGTATTGAGAGAGAGGTTTATGGGCACTTGGATAAATAGACTAAATTAAAGAGAGAAGATCTGAAAACAGAAGTGGGGCGGGGGGTGGACAGCACATAAATCCTGTCCATGCCTTGACACTAGATGAGATTGCCCAGGGACCAAGAGATGAATGAAACTTAGACAATTGATTTTGTGTATATATTCATGTGACCTTCGAGCACTTACAAGGTCATTATAAATACATTGACAAATAAGGGAAAGAAGGTCTTTGGTTTGGCTATTGTTTTGAGTTTTGGCTCATAACATGTGGTCTGTGGTGGTAAATGACATCTCAAGGTCCCTTCCCACATGAACAAAGGGAGATATTTTTAAGTGAAGCTCTATTTTACAATTACAACTGTAGGACAGCAGAGAAATCAGACTTTGAGCTGAGGTAGCATTTTTCTCCTCCCCTCCAATTGAAGCTTTCTTTGAATTTGGAAATCATATCTTTCTTTATCTGGGTCAAGGACTTGAAGAAAGGCTAAGTGAGCTTGGTGCAAAACAGCATGTTCAGATGTTCACATTAATCCCGTTAAACTACTCACACAGAGAAAGTAGATGGCGAGAAAAGACAAAAGTAAAGAAATTTTTAACAGATGGTTGTTTTTATTATTTATTTATCTATCTATTTGTGATTTACTTTAAACTTGGCTACTACAATCACTTTGAAAGCAAATCATGCCTCTTTGGTGAGTGGATAGCTGGTATTAATGGCTTTTGTTGCCATAGCCATTAAACTCCCCCCACCCCAAATCTTTGTGGAAAGTATTAAATATTCTCAGGACGCCTGGGTGGCTCAGTCAGTTAAGCATCCTACTTCAGCTCAGGTCATGATCTCATACTCTGTGAGTTTGAGCCCCGCGTTGGGCTCTGTGCTGACAGCTCAGAGCCTGGAGCCTGCTTCAGATTCTGTGTCTCCCTCTCTCTCTGTCCCTCCCCTGCTCATGCTCTGTCTCTCTCTGTCTCAAAAATGAATAAAAACATTAAAAAAATAAAAATATTCTCAGGATTCTGGTTTCTTTGGTTGTTCAAAACCTGTTTAGGGGCGCCTGGGTGGCGCAGTCGGTTAAGCGTCCG